TTTCTTTTCTTTCAGGCTGTGTGAAAGTTTCTGATTTTGTGAGAAGCAAACTGTGCAGGAGATCTGCTTATTTATACATAGACCAGCTGGCAGTCCACGAGACCAGACCAAGCCCACCTCATCTCAGAAAGCGTCTGAGCAAATGATGCTTGGGTAACCCAGGGCCTCTAGACACAGCAAGCAATAGTCAGTATATGTGAATAGTGGGTGATAGAAGCCAAATTAATTAAAAGACTCTTCATCTGCTCTCATTGCTGACAGAATATTAGAGAAGGAAAAAAATGCCTCTGTTATTTAGTCCTGAAACACTCATTTGCTAATCATTTATTGCTTATGGTGAATCCCCTGCAGTCAGTAGAATATGGCTCAGAGAGGCATGTAGGATTTTCAACAGAAAAAAAAATGGAATTTGCATTTTGAGTACTGATGTTACAGGTTCCCCCTTATTCTGGAGAAGAAATGCACAGGGAGCATTAAATCATGCAGCACTTTTAAGCATTCTTCTCTCCTTCCTTGTGACAGCAATATTAAGTTATTCAGTTCTGTGGGAGTTATTAACACCTTCAGAGTCACGCTCAGGGCTGGAGGTGCTGGAGGTGCTGGAAAGCAGAATAGTGGAATATCCTCAAGAACACCACAGAAAGAATGGAATCAATTTTCTTGAACAAAGACAAGGATTCTTCAGCTCTGAGTCACACATCATGAATTTCTGAAGTGTCACATTTAAATGGAGAAAGAATTACACTGGGACATGAAAAACTTCTTGTTTGACTTCTTAATGAGAGAAGGCTTAAGCTTTGTAAGATATGTGGTACAGGAAGATTGTTCTGACAGGCTTGTGCCATATGGAAGGTAGAGATCATTGCCCTCATACTCCAGGGGGAAAGCCTCAGCAGCAGCAGCACAGGACAGGGTTGGTACGGCTGTTACTAATGTTCATCCTACTTAGCATGCCAAGATAAGACTTTAGAGCCACTCATTGATCCATGACTCTGAAAGGTATGGAAGATTAGCAAGTAGAACTTGAAGAGGTTTAGATTGTTATGAGAGCTCTAGAGTGAGAATTTAATGGTACTCATAGTCTACAGCAGCACTAAGCACCCAAATGTTGCTGTGAGGGACTGAGCTGCTGCCTAATTTATGTCAACATCTGACACATGTTCTTCAGCGACACTGATGCTTCAGCCTAAAAGTGGATTTATATCCTTAGCAGTTCTATTTTATATGTGCAAAGGCATTGTGGGACTTACTCCGTTCCCCAGATCCCTATTTTAGCTGCTTCCCGACTATAAAAGCAAATGATCTAAACTTACAGTCTGCAATAAGATAATGAGTAGTTGCATATGGATATGGATCACAGCAGTTACTGGAGCCCTGCACACTTAGGAAATGTGCAAGGAAATAGACTGTGGCAGCTGACACACACCAAAGTGCTTCAACCTTTGAAGAGAAGATGGGGGAGTGCACAGGGGCCAGCTCCTTCTTCCCTCACAGAGACATCAGCAGGGTACATATGGACTGTTTCCAAAAAAGTTGGCAAGGTTTTGCAGAGAACTTGAGTGAGTTTTGGGACTTGGGTCTTGTTTTCTGTCAGAATGCCATAGCAAGTTGGTTTGGTTTTGTCTTCCTGCTGGGATTTTGCCAAGGGTGGAAACACCTTGCATCCATCCTGCTGCAGTCTTAACAATGCTGGGCATGCTGTGGTCATTATCAAGGGTAAGGGGAGATTCTGATTCAGTGACACTTTTGCCACTGTGTGTTTAGACATATATGCCTAATTTTAGCCAATATATATTCTATTTTATATAAAATAAAAGAGAATATACAAGAAAAACTATGTGAAAGAATCAGTTCTTTCACATAAGCACATATTTGCACAGATAAAAGGCACGTAAAAAAGGAAGTGCCAGGATGACACTTGCAGCAAAGTCCCTTTTACACATCACAGCAAAAGGTAGAGAGAAAGTGGAGAAATTAGGCTGCTCTACTGAAAGAACTTCCTAAAGCCATCTAAAATATATTGCTCAGACTGAAAAATTGTTCAGATTGTTAGGGTTTCACATAGCTGATGAAAGAATAGCATTGTAATACAAGGCTCTTAGACTTTTCACATCTCTAGGAAATGTGACATCTCTGGTAGTTTTAGAGCCATCACTACCTTCTTCCTGAATCAAAGGGAAAGAGCATCTGCCTAGTGCATCTCCTGTGTCTGACACAGTATTAATATAATTCATGCTTGCATGTCTTGTGAGATATCATGGTATCACACTACAAGTGTGCTTCGCTACAGTGACAGGTTTATAGTTTGAACTGAAGAGTCTCTTGCAGATAGAACACACCAGCTGTACTTGTCTGAACACTGACAGTGGCCTAGAGGCACTGATTTCAGCAGATTGTGCATCAGCAGAACACAACAGCACAGCAGGGAAGCCGGTATATTTTTAAAAGGCTCTGCCTTTTACGCAGAGCCTGAATACTGCAGGCTCATAGGCTCTGAAAAAGCCAAGTAGAACCCTAAGTTCCTGAGAAATATTAATTAATCCATTTAGGAGCTACTGCAGTGGGAAACATTACAATACACAGCACGAGTTGCCTACCTTGGTGAGGAACATTCTTCTCGTGTTGTTGCAGTTCTCATTTGCTGCAGCTTTGGACTGGAGAATGCTGGTGACCACACGTGGAGGATCAGGTGGGCTGTCCTCTGCCTCTGACGTGCATGGCACCTGTGTTCTGGGACAGCAGTCAAAATCCTCTTGACCCCAGCTGGTAGAGATCTCAAAGGGATCAGGGCATTTCTCGTCGGGACTTGACCCATCATCACTGGTTTTGGCATTGCAGAGTATAAGCGATCTTGAAATGGAGCGAAACTTTCTTGACTTCCTGTTCCCAGTACTGTTCTTTTGATCCATCTTCAGAGAGCTGCTGTTCTTTTTTCTATCGTTCTCCCATTTATGTGGCATGATACTTTCAGTAATTTTCTCTGCTTCTGTGGTGCTAAATATCCTCCAGGAAAGGAAATATAAAAGTTGTAATATACCCCACTTTCTCCCACTTAATAACCTACGCTACTGGAAAGCCCTAATGAATAAATCAAATCAACAGAGCCTTTCAGTCTGAGAACAGCCACGTGATATCTCATGACTTGCTAATTCTACTTCTGTGCAGAGCTCTCCTAGATCCTCCTTCACCTTTTCATTCTCTTGCCATGTTACCCAAGCAGAGTGGAGTGCTTTTAATAAATGTTTGTGGTGCTACAATTGTCTGCTTGCTTTGGGCATCTGCTGAATTTGCATGTTGAAATCCCAAATTGAAAAGGAAGATACTTTAAAAGCATTATTCTATCCTCCTAATATTATTTGGAAAGAAGAAGCTCCTTCTGAAGTTTGATTCATGTAAACCACTATAATTCAAAGAAGATTAATCAAATTGTCAACTCTAAGTTCTCTGCCTGGCACATCCACATTGTAAGTGGTTTAGCAAAAGTAGATCTTAGCCTTGAGAGAGTAAGGAATGTCAGTCTGCCATAAAACTTCCACCTTTGCAAACCAGAACTCACTTAAGACTGCATTTAAGAGTTACAGAGAGATCCAGTGAAGCACTTAAGGAGTGAATATCTGATTAGGGCTTGAATTCTATGAAGGAATACAGCCCCAGTAAATCAATCAAAAAGTGTCGTATTACAGAAATGGTTTCTTTCAGCACATGATTCAGCATATAAAATTAAGATAAAGTGGAAAACAAAATATACAATCAAAATATAGCAAAATTCAGAGCTTTTGTAAAATGAGCAATGTAATGAGCATTTTAAGATAACAAAGGGGAGCCATTAAAACTCCCTCAGAAAAAGCTTTCTAGAAATGCTTTGGTGGTATGTGTCAGTGATGAAAATTCAACAAGAGAACATCTAATTTAATTACTTTGACTCTCTCACCTGAGTTTTATCATCATATTTACTACACAAACGTTTCTATTCTCCTCACAGAACCTAGCAGATACCAAAGTTGCCATTCTAGAAAAAATACCAATTGAAACTTAAGTATTTGCATAAATAATTTGTAGGTTTTATATACAAAACTGAAAATTAATGTAATTTGAAAAGCACTTCTAAGGTATCCTGTTGAAAGAAAAAGTTTGTCCGTTGTGCTCTAAACTGAGTTGTGTTTGGTTTGGGGTTTTGTTTTTTCCCCTGATTCTATGCAGAATTGAGTAGATATATATGCACTTTATACCTGAAGTTCCATTGGTGATACAGAAAGGAAGAAGGAGATTTTCTAAAGGCTCCTTTCAGCCATGACAATAAACACAGGCCTACAAACTCAGACCAAGCCAGAATCAGATAATAAATCCAAGTCAGCGTTGTAATAAAGCTGCAGGATTATTTTTCTTGGGTTTGTTTTTGTTGTTTTTTTCCTTATACAATTAAACAGGAAAAACCAAAGCAGATGATAAACACTATGCCACTGAGCACCTGCCTAAGGGAACTATATGGCATTTCTGGAGAAATCCACAGTTCAGCATGAATCTGAATTTGCTTGAAATTGTAAATTAAAACAATTTTCAGGTGCAGCAGAAATGTCCCAGGGAGAAGGATGTTTATTTGTGCAGTCTTTTCTGGTATTTTTGATAGGTAATATTTCTACAGCTTTCCATCATTACTTATCTTCTATCACACCAGTCCTGTTATTCTCTACTCCCTTATGTCTCTTTTTCCAAATGAAAATCCCTAACACTTCAGAAACTCATGCCCTCATTATTGGAACTCCTGAGATTTCCTAGCAAGACACTATTTCAGGGCAGAGGTTGAAAGTAGCCAGAATATGTCAAGATCCCCAAAGCCAGTATGCTTTCTGCCCCTCTCTGTGTGTCTTTGGGATCCTCTCTGCTCCTGTGGGAGTCTGACCCTGCTGGATTGGAACAGGGGAATGGAAGTCACTGGGCTCCCAGCCTCCCTGACACTGGCATGAGGGAAGCTTTCAGAGTCAAACTGGACTTGCATATTCCCCATTCCCTTCAATTCACAAGACATTCTACTTTTTTTCGTTTTTTCAGAGTAGCCTCTCTTATAAATGACGAGTTTGGTGTGATTGAGAACTGCCCAGCAGCACAGCCATGCTCTCTTCCTGTGACACAGAGCACACAAATGTAAGGTTTGGAGATCTTGCTTGTGACTTTTAAAAAATGCACTTTTTAATGTTTTGATAAGCCTAAAGCTCTAGTCTGCCATCATATACATGAACAAAATTTTTGAACTCAGAAATCCCTGTTAGCATCTCCACTATTTGAAAATTAATCTTGTTAAAGCCTATTATGTGTTTTCTTTATGTTTAAATGAAGGCAAAAATGCAATCTGGCCCATTAGACCAGAATGTGGAGTTGAAAAAGGATGGCTGGGGTGAAGGTAATTTCTGCAAGTCTCTACTCAGCACCTGGGTAGGAAGCAACAGACCTGGAGGTGAGTGGAGTGTGCATCACTTGAAAATCTGCCACAGGGATCAGTGCTCCTTCTGTGATACTGGCCATTGCTATTAGACACTGGTAACACCATCATAAATGTACCCAAGCTGCACAATCAGACCTAAACAATCCTGCCTATGTGGGGAAACTAAAAGAAAGAACACTTTTCATTCAAATATTTCAATTTTGTACAAACATTAAACACATTCTTGCTTTTCTCAAAGAGGAAGAATTTAAAAAGAGCTATTAAGAATTTGGATAAGCAGAGGACTTGATAGCTTAATTGTCAGAATACAGCTCTTTGCACACTGGTATGCTAGAATGAAATCCTTTCTTGCCCTGCCTGAAGCTGTTGAGCTTAAGAAGGGAGAACAGCCATCAGTACTAAATGTCCAAGAAGTGCCTCTCTGGCTCTGTTAACATCTGGGATGCAGGGATGCATAGAAGCACCTGTTAAAACAGTGAAGGAAACACGGGTCTAAGTGCATTCTGCTTTCCCATCCCCCTGTAATGCTCCTGAGGAATTTTATGTTATGCAGAGAGAACTCTTTGCCTTGCTCCATCAGCTGTTTCCTCCTCCCCAGCCCCCATGAGAGCTCCATCCACTCAAAGACCAAGTTTAACCCTGAATGACTTACCTAATCTCACAGGGAGAGAGAGGCTGATGTGAAAATGAACCCGCTAGACCTGAAGACTTCCAGTTAAATACTTGCTCTTGCTATATAATATATATAAGTATTAGATCACAAGTCCTAACTAAGGCAACATTCTTTCCACAGCTGCTGATTCAGTGTTGCATAAGTGACAGAAATATAAGAGGCACCAAAAACATAATCTATAAGTTTTCCAATAAAAATATCCAGAAATGTTATTTTACACAGCCTACAATATCACAAGTGCCAGAGAAACTTTATGATTCATTGCCATCTTCCACCAAATTTAATTTGAGATATTGATGGCATGAACAATTACTTCAAAGTCAATTATTCAAACCATTCATCTTTTTCTCCAGTGCACTCACTGCTTGTCATTTTCTTCTGCCATTCTTATACCTCCAGCTTGCTTGATGAAGCTGTCTGTGGTTTGTAATACAAACCAAATGTTCCTTCTCTGTTTCTTTTTTTTTTTTTTTCCCAAGCTTTATTTTTCCAGCTTTAAATCTTAAAAGCCCAAACTCAGTCTGTCTTCTGCAAACAAAATACACAATCTGAGCTGTGGCCATTTGGTTCAAATTTTTGGTTGGATATTAAACCAAGCATTTACAAGATACAAATAATCTGGTGTAGCTCCCAGATTGAATGTGAATGCTCTGCTAGTAACCAGGCAGTAGGAAAGACAGGACTTTACTAGCAAGAACAATATGAGTTTTACATTAACAAGTGCTAGCAGCATCCTCTTTTAATCTAGATCTTGCATCTTAATTTAATCTAGATCTTGTGATCTTACTCAGATTCATTACTGAGCAGTACTATTAGCACTGAACTATTGCAGATGTCTAGGGTTTCTCCATAGTAGTAAGAGCTAAAGGTTTTGAAGTTTTCTAATAGAGAGTAAGAAACTCTCAGAGAATTGAAATAAAAAATTATAATTAAAAAAACCCTAATGGTAAAATAAAAATTCAAAAGGAGGAACTTACAACAACGAGGCAGACAAACCTGACTCCTGCAGAAGGCTGTTCTTCTTCATAGGCCTGGCAAAAAAAGACAGAGTGAATAATTGAAAACACACTCTCCTGGTGCCACGTGACTCAGTTTCAGTAATTCTGCTCAGTACATTGGAACGGAGCTATTGTTTCCTAATTGAAGAAAATGTCAGCAAGGCTAGATAAACAAAAGAAATGGGATGCAGCATTGGGGAAGCTGTTTCCAGCAGGCTCCCAGCTACCCAGAGATGGCAGGACCATTTAAGGAGTTTATAATTTGTTTTCACCCATTGCTCTCTGGTCCAAGGACTGATGGGGTACAGGCATGTTAAACCCACCTGAGGGGAGCTGGGGCAACAGCAGAGTCTGTGCCAATCCAGTGAAGGCTGAGGCTGAGATGCCAGGCATGTTTCTTGTATTTTTCATCTGATATTTTAACATTAGGCTAGTAAGAGTGTCCTAGACAAATTCTGCTCCAGGAGAAAAACATAATAGGTGCCACTTTTGAATGCCAGACCCCTGTATGGTTCACCATGAACACAATCTCTTTAACCTACCAGTTCTTAAATACTTTCCCCTAGGGGAAGACTAGGGGAAACTGAGGAGACTGGGCTATCTGCAACTTTGTGATCCCACCTGATCAAGGACTCAGAAAGTTGTTGTTTATCACACAGATCATGTCAATCCCCAGCTGTTGATCCTCAGTTGTGCTCAGACAGATGGATAACAATCTTGCTGCAGTAAGCTGCTTGCTCTCAATGAATTTGTGTGATAAGATTCATACGGGTATTTGTTAATTTGAAAAAAAAAACCATAAAAGAAAACATTGTATCTGAAACAGTTAATGTTAGTTTCTTGAAATAGTTAGGCCTCTTTAGAGTGTTCTCACAAACCATAAATCTCATGCTTTTCAGGAAAATGTAAGCATAAACCTGGCCCTGTCTGGTCATGGAAATGGTCAACATGAGAGTGCTTAGACACCTGCTGCCCTCTATGTTCTGTGTCTTGAAGGTTCTGTCTTTTTTTTATTGCTCTGTCATTAACCTTGCAAAAGAGGGAGAGGAATTATAGAAGAGGTTTTAAATATTGCACAGATAGGGGCTCATTTTAGTGATCCTATGGCTTCTAGGTAAAGCATGGACTGTAAAGACAAATATCTGTCCCATGAGAATGACTCTCATTCTGTGAGAAAAAGAGAAAATGAAATCTGTGCTCTGTACAGTGTCTACAGGAGTCCTGGAAAACTCTGTCCTTGATAATACAATTGTGGGCATTCTGTATTTTAAACGTTTATCAAGAAAATTTAACATTATTTTCCTAACATCTAAACTTTTGGGATAATTATTCTCCAAAGGAAATCTTCTCTAAAGGACACAGTTTCTACCTGACTCACTGGTTAACAAATTACATGGAACATTACCCAACTCTTTCAGAAGAACCAAGCCTTGGCACTAAGTACTGATCAATAATTATGAGGTAACTTTCCTGGAAAGAAGGACACCTAGGGAGCTGACTTTGTATTTTGGGAAAGAATTTGTCACTATTTAAAGAGAGAGGACAGTGGCCTTGTACATAAAATGGGGTTTTGTATGTAGTGCTAGTGCTGTAAAAAAGAAATGGAAGCAAAGCCATACAGACTGTTTACCACTTTACTGTCTTTCACTACAGCACACATATGTTTTTGTTTAGCAATAGAGAACTCATTCATACAAAATATCAACCATCCCTGAGTTCTGATCCAAGCTGATTGAGCTGGAAGCTCAAAAACATTGGAAAGCTTGCTTTATTTCTTCCCATTGTCACATGCTTTTGCACTTCCTGACTAGGGGCTGAATAATGTCGTCCCTACGCCACTGGGAGTTTTGTTCATTCCAAGCCTGGACCTCTGCCAGGGCCAGCAGCAGAAACATAAATATCACAAGGAGGGGCTGTTTTTTCATGTTGCTTTACTTCAACCTTTTGCAGTTTTTTCCATCTCCTCTGTACAGTAATTGTTCAGTGCCCAGTGGTGAACAGAAAAGCAGGTTTTTAGAAGCCATGAGGAAAAGGAGAGAGAGAGAGAACCTCTACTGTGCCTGCCTTGTTGCATTAATGGTATGCTTTGATATTGGATACTGTGGTCAATCTTCATTACTTAGCTCAAAGGTATTGTAGCAGGAAAAGGGCAATGAACACTGATCAGAGGCTGGAATTTTGTATTAAAAGATTGAAATTATGTGGACTCTCCTATGCAGAAATGAACTGCATTGATAAAAGTTTGTGAGATAATAGGAAATATAAGGCAAATGAGTGTGGTTTCCTTACTTCCTTCTCATGTGAGGGACAACAAAAGAATGCAGTAAAATGAAGAGTGTTCAAACAAATAAAAGGAAATACTTAAAATATAAAGCATAATGAATGTGTGGAACAAGAAGGCAGCAGAAATTATGAACACTTTGAAGTTAGCTGTTTGATTTCAATCAGACAGAGATTTCACCTCAAGAGTTGAATTGATGAAAATATATATCTGTAGATAAGGGGAATAACATGCAGAGGGGGAAGCAACTCCTGCTCCAGAATGAAAGTCAAACAATGCAGTTTACAGATAGAGTGATAGTCCTGCCATGGGATAGTTACCATAAGATGGAATAACTCCTCAGATGTCTGCACTTAGTGTCTATTGGCAGTGGGTAAAGGAAAGAGAAGAGCTGCTGAACTTAATAATTATGGCAATTCTTCTCTTTGAAGAATGACTAAAATCAGGATGTGTCTGGAACTATAACAGATACAGGAGCTGATTCCTCTTTTCTCCAAATTATTTTCCATATGCACAGGTTTGGGTTCTAGAGGACAAATATGCAGACTATTCACTACTAAATATTTTTCCTGTTGCTACTGGTGATAACCTTTTCCAAAAAGGAATGTATAAATTTAAACAAGTACTGGGCAAAGCAGATGTAGGTAATGATGGAACAGCTTCAGTCCTGATCTCCACCCAGCCCCAAATACTGCTTGCCTTAATATGAAAGAAAGCCAATAGTTTGGAGTGTTCAAGTTTTTGTCCTATCCTTACATTGTTCAGCAAACTGGTAATTTACTTTTGCCTTAAATGCAGCCACAATTTTCACATTTGCCATATTCCAGACTACAGTTATGTTGCACAGACAATCCATCCCCTCATTGCTTCTAAACCAGGCTGGATCTAAACCAAAGTCATCTCTTTGTTTTCATGACTTTCACACTCCCTTTCCGTCCATGAAAACATAGCTACATGGCGTGTTGAGTCACCATATTAGCCCAGCTAATCCAGTAACCTTCTCCAGCAATAACTGGTAGCAATTGTTTTAAAGGGATTAACTTAAAAAAAAATCATCAAGACAGAGCTTGCTTTCAGGAAGAGTTTCTGAGTACTTTGTTGGTAGAGTAGACTGGCATTATGGGGTTATGTATATTATTCCAAAATGCTTGGACATGTCAATATATGATATGATATTAAATGATGATATAATATGGTATGATACTCTTGTTTCAGCAGAAGTTACAGCTGCCCCATCTTGGATAAGTATTGCACAGTGAATGTCAAATCTCTTTTTAATTCTTTTCATTACTTAGTACCTAACTTTTGCCAGGAAGCACAAAGATAATTTTTCCCTTCTACACATGAAATTAATCCTATCTAATAGAACTGTAATTTATCCTTTTCTGGCTCCCATTAAGCTTTTGATTTCAAGAGTATCCACAGGCAATGAGTTTCGTATGTTACATATAAATGTACTTCCTTGTAATTTGAAATTTGTTGCCTCTAAGATTTGTTCAGTTCTTGTACTAGGAAAAATATTCTGATCTTCACATCTCTGTGGAATCTTTTTCTCACTGATCTCTGTACTGATGTCATCTTCTATCTTCTGCATAATTTTATCTTTTTTACTTCTGCCCCTGCTTCCAGCTTCACACTGCTTTCACATGTTTGGAACTCCTTTTTCTTCAAATCCTTTGTGAAAAAATTCACTTCCTTCTGTGAACTTTACTACTCGACTATTTTATGGTGGTATCCAGCTCTGCAACCTTCTAGACTATTTTCAAGTGAATTGCTTTCCTGTGAATTAACTAAAATTTCCTAGACCTTGTCTTGCCAGAAACATTTGTGTTTCATGACTTGCACTCCCACTCTGTCATTACTAACCTCTCTTGCTGCAGTGCCCCAGAGATGAGCAGTAAAACACTGCTTATATAGTTCTAAGCAAGAGGGTCTAATGTGCACACCCATAAAAAGTATTTTTACCTCATCTCAAGAACATATCCTTGAGCTCCATGAAGAATATGTTACTTTATGCATACAATGTTTTTTTTTAAAAAGTATCCCATGTGATGTACGTAAGTGATTGTGTTAAGAGTGTGTGACTGAAAAAGTACAGCACTATGAGTGTAAAGTTTGTTGGCTGTAGGAGGGATGCATGAGGCAAGAATGGTACCCTTTCAGCCAAGAGTTGTGGGCTGTATTGTTATTTTAATATTTATATAGTGTGTACATAGACTATGTGTGACATTATGTTGGGCTTTGAGAGACACTAAATATTTATGTCAGCTATGAAGTTGCTAAATATCTGGTACTGAAGGAAAGATCCATCTTTTTTTTTTTTTTAAACCATTGACCAATACACAGTTTATAACTTAATACAGCACCAGAGTAGTAAAAGCATTATGTGAGCTCTCCTGTATGGTGTCATTCAAATATAAACAAATATTTTAAAATGTCGTGACTTTACCTCTTCTTTCCACACAATGCTCCTTTTTCATCTGACTTAGTATTTCTTTTAATTTATAGTTCCCTAAACTGTAGGCAGATATAAAGGGCCCTTTAGGCTGAATGAAAGGAGAATTATCAATAGCCTAACTATGATTTATAAGGAAAAAACCATAAACAGCAAAAGAAAACTGAATTTACTCTACCTAAAAAAGTGATATGAAAATTTTCTCTGTATTTTTCCTGAGTTCAGTTAAAATGTGTATTTAGACCTGCCCTTTTTTTATAACCTCTTACTGTGAATCCATGTTGGATTTTGTC